TAGGCGACATTATGCAAAATGGTTCGATAGTTTGACCATTTTAGTGAATGTATTCATTGTAAAATTTGACAACCTAATTGGAATTAGTTAGAAAAGAAAGATCGGAAAAGATCTGAAAAAGAATGGGCAATGAATATTGCGAAATGAATCATGCAAGTAATACTTCAATTCTTAAATGAATTATTTATACTTTTACCATGGTTATACTTTTGCCTTGACTTTAAGTGGATTACTATACTTTTACCTTGATTATAAGTGGATTACTATACTTTTACCTTGATTTTAAGTGGATTACTTATATACTTTTACTCTTTGACTATACTTTTACCTTGATTTTAAGTGGATTGCTTATACTTTTACCTCGAATTTTTTCTTCTCATGTTTACCTTGATTTGTTGGATCACCAGAGTCTGGTGCATTGTTCGTTTGTCCATCGTTTATTATAAATGTTAAGGTGACAAAAAGTATTTGAAATGATTGCCACATCATCATCATCATCATCATCCTAATTTATTCTAAAGATTAAAATTGAAATTAAATAAGAGATTGCGCTAATAAAATTAAAAATATGGGGGAGAAAGAATTATTTGCCTTGATTATTTAATGGTATAAAAAAATTTCAATATTTCTTTAGCCTTTTTTTTTTTTAAAATATCTACTATCAAAAAAAATTTTATATCAAATGATAATAGTATCATTTGATATAAAAATAATCTTATATATGCTTTTACCCTTTGTCATTATATAACTCTCATCATATTTTCTACTGAATTCATTTTACATTTATTTGTTATTTAATAATTATTTAATGAATATTAAATTTTAGATTGAATTTTGCTAATCGAACAAAACAAACTTTATAAATTTTAAGCATAATCATATTTTTACAAATAAATTTTAACCTAATTATAGATGATGGCAAGTTTTCGTGTTCCACTGATAATAATATGATTAGGATGAATTAACATATCAATCGTTTTTGTCACTTATTTTGCTCAATTTTGGAATATTTCTGAAATTTCACTTTTTTTTTTCACTCGAAATTTAAATCGTTTATTGTGGGCAATTTTCCTTTTGTCCTTTCCGTTGAACTAAATTTACGGAAAAAGTGACATCTGATATGTTAGCTTATAAGAAGCTTATTCAATCAATATCAAATAAATATGATGACAATCATCAAGCATAATCAAAAATAGAATATATAAGCTTTAAATGTTTTGTTAATTGAAAAGAGGCATAATTAAATTATGAAATGACAATTGATAAAAGATAATATTTTAATTGTATTTCAAAGACTATCAAATATCTGATTATCGGAATACTTGATGATATTCATTGGCCATTTAACTATTTATGTAGCTTTAAATTAATGGTGTGATGGCACAAAATTTTATGCATTTTAATTGATTTAATGTGAAAGCATAAAAATATTAATTAATTTTATGTGAAATCAAAAAAAAAAGCCAATCAAGTACGATAAATGAAATAAAAGTAAATTATTGAAATATTTTACAAAGTAAAATACTGATTGTAGCACCTACGGCATGTTAATTAAAACAATATACTTCATTGCCAGTTCAATTCATTAAACCTTTAATTTGATTGTAATTAATCACAATTAATACTATACTACTATCGATTATTAAGTAACGGATATTAAGTATTTTTAAACTAGATATGAAATCTTCTTGAAACTCCTGAAACATCGAAATATCAGTTTTAATCGGTCTTAAATCGATTTGCTTCAATATACAATACATTACTTTTGCCACCTTCATTTTCTGGTTAACATAATCACTCATCCATAATATGACAATATGATGTGTCACCTGCTATTTGATATGACTAACGTAATGTACGTATTTAACGTATATATCACGTTAGTGATTATTCTTATCATTTATTCAATACAAAAAAACTGAAATTATTCCACTTCAATTTCTAATTTATTCTGTCCAAAAAAAAAGAAAAAAAAATTTGGAAGAAAAAATAATTAAATAAACTTTTTAATGAATTTAAATAACTACTAACTAGGTAAATGCTTTCAAATTATATTTAAATTATTTCAAATTATCCTAAATTCCAAATAGTTCCTATCAATTGCTTTTTCTTCATTAAATTTTTAATCATTCTAATTCTTAAAATTCTATTTAAAAAAAAGAAATTTTTGATGTAATACATGAATATACAATTGAATGGATAGGAAATTAAATAATAAACGAACATAAAGAAAAGTAATAATATGCGTTACATACACGAAAATAAATTTACCATGAAAAATTAAATATATGAATTAATAATTAAATATATGATTTAAATATACGAAAAAATTTAAATATATATATATATATATATAAATATATTTTTTGATTGCTTAGTTATCCTATTATCTAAAAATAAAGTAATGAAAAAAAAAACTTTTCGCCATTTTTTTAAAAGAAAAATTTTTAAATTTTTAATTAAAATTGATTTCTACTATCAAAACATTTTGATTCTAAAATAATTTATTAACTAATATATATCATTTCTATGATATATAAAATTTTAAAAAAAGGCGAAAAATTATTATTCTTCGTTCTTTTTAGTTATTTGGCAAAAAATTTTTTTAAAAGGCATCATATATGAAAGAGAAAGTAAAAATTAAT